CTATCGCCACCACCACCGCCACTGTCACCGCCACCGACGACCGGAGAGACGCACGTAGTCTAAACGTGAGACTCGTACGGACGTTGTCGTCGTCCTCGCCGGTTGCCTCTTCGTACACTCTGTTTTTCGAGCCAGCCCTCCGGTTGTACATCGACTTCGTCCACCGTCAATCATCGTCTCCGATCAACAACAAAAAAGGTCAGTCACATTAATATCCCATTTTATCCGATGTAATTCACGCATCGTTGTATACTTCGGTGATCACCGTAACTCTCACTTTTCCGTTATTTAATACGCGGTCTCTGTATGCTACGTAGTCTCTCGCTCCTCCCTTGTTGTCGTCGACGTTTTTCTACACGTTCCGTAGAAAGACGTGTTATTTATACGGTCTGCTTGTCCTTGTTGATACAACAATAAACGCGAGGTTGTTTGGCGTTATCGGAAATATGGCCATGTTTGTTCTTCTTTATCGTGTTAGACGATCGAGCTGCGATATCTGTAAGAATTTCGACGGACGAAACCTGGTGGAAGAAATCCGCGGGAGGAATCGAAATATTTTGAACACGAAGCCGCGTCGAGTCGAGTTGCAGCTAAGTTCACGATGCATCGCGCGTACCCAAGTACGTTGTCGTTTCTCGTCGGCGTATTTTCCTCTCTGTTTTCGTCTATCTGCCTCTGTTTTTCGTGGCCGCGAGAGGCACCAGTTCCGGTGCCACAGCTCGATAAAACGCAAGGGTTAGGCCGCTGCAGGTCTCCTCCATCGATCTTGAACGCTAAGTCGCCGACGTTCGTGGCTTTCCACCTTCTCTGGTGGCCGTGTGCACGATGCACCCGTCGTCAAAGTCTCCGCGCGATTTCCCCGCGGAAACCTCCGCCACGTCGTTATCGCTCCCTTCGTCGCACGTACCCCGCACCGTACTGCCTTTAACCTCTTGCCGTGTATTTCGCTTCGACGAATTTCGCTTTGCTAACGAACCATGGGAAATTCCGCACGCGCATCTCCGATCCGTAAACAAACTTCTAAATGAAATTGAACGTAAACAATTCGAGCAGTAACATTTTTTCTCCCCTGTTCTCTCCGGCCGATATGCGGAAAGATACGCTCCGTTGGAATATTTGCGTACGAATTTTACCGTGATGTTTTCGCAAGCGAAACGGTGGAAATTGCATTCCGGGCAACCGGAATGTTATGTTAACGTAGCGTTATCATTCTCCGTATTGGGTAAACCGGGGTTCCATTAGGGAAATGTAGCTTCGGAGGGTCTTAAATTGAGTGGCAGTTAAAAGGGAACCATTTCTGTGATGTATGCGGCTTGATGGTACGTTGAAGGTGTATCGAGAGCGCATCGTTCGTTGCTCCGAAACGAGCGTGTTCTCGAGGATAATCCATTTGGATCGATGTCTAATTCAGCAACCATCTGCCTTCGATATTTACGTCCCTTTCAGTAGCGCGAATGAACTTTCGCTATTCTTGTTAGCTTTGAGAAATAGAAAGGCAAATGAATGGGCGAAAAGATGCCAAGAGATCGTTTTGGAACGTTAGAGAGATACAACGATGAACGAAAGAAAGTCGTAGGGATAAGCGACACAGAGAAGTATTTCAACCATTGAAAACAGATTTATTTGACAAGAACGATTAAATTCTTCGGAATTAACGTAGTAAGAAAACGTTCAGTACGAAGTTACTATTAATGTAATGTATTTGTACTCGTGCACAAGTATGAATTTTAAACTTTCATACTGCCCGCCACCGCAAGGAAACGACGAGGGAAGATCGGAGATCTTTTGTTCCTTTTTCTATACTTATACAAATGGGAGCATAAATGGACGCATAAGTGGAATGGTACAAGCAAAAAGTCTTCGAAACTAATTATTCAAGTTCCTTCGTTTATTCGTTTCGTCGTAGGATATTAAGCGGCATTGCGATTATCTCGTACCGCGTGAAATTCCTAAGAAAATATAATCTTCCGAAGGTACAGCAATCGAGGGAGGTTTCCAGCGTCTCCGCCAAAGTTTTCAATATGTAGATTCGAATTTACCAAGTTCAAGTGATATTTAAGGCTCGAAACTTGCCGTGCGAATTATTCGCAAATCCATTTGTTGGTTGGCGATCGTCGAACCCTCTCCTTCGTAGCGTAACGTGAATTCGAAATTTCTTTAGCAGACATTTCTCAACTTCAAGAAGTTAGCTTACCTCGAAAATTAATTTCCTTTTGTCAAGCGGTGTTATTACCAACTTTACTTTATACTTGTTAGTCGGTCGGAAGGTTCGATTCGTCGTTGTCACAACCATTTGCCAACTCTGTGTCTGCCTACCCAATCTCTGCAGGTTCTCCAACCATTTAACTTGATAAATGTACGTTGCACGGCCTCGTAATTAATGACAGAGGTGATACGCTGCTGTCTGATTATGCGAATAGGCTTAACTCCGGTGCAATGAATCACAGACGTCTGTCGGTGGTGTGTCTGTTACCCCTGACGATCGTCGAACATATTCCAAAGCGTCAATGGTTGACTTGTTCTTAGCCGGCTGACCGTGGATTCATGAATCACGAGACGTCAGCTCCCGGACGAAGTGGTATATACTATCCTCGTGGTAGAAAATTCTCTCAAAAATCTCTCGCCAGTTGCTCAAAGATTCCGGATTTACACAGATTCACGCGAGAAAATGATTTCTTATCTCCGGACGTTATTTATCCCGACTCACGCGAAAAAATAATTTCTCACAACTTGAAGAGTAAGAATAATTCGATATTGGAAAAAGGTCGAACGTATAATGAAACGTTCGCTTCTCGTCAATTTCTCGGCTTCATTACACAAGTACACGATTAATATTCGATTCTCAAAGAACAAGCGACGTACTTCTATAAATTCATTCTTTGCAAGAAAATGAAACAAATGATGATAACTTGTGAGATAAAAAGGAACAGTTTTTGTCGCGTCATGTCTTCTTCTTTTTTATTCTTATTTATTTGTAGACGCGAGAAACTCTAAACGAATAAAAAGAAAGAGGACATACAGAGTAACCTATAAATAAGACAGTGAGATAGGTCGGATAAAAATCTAAAACAAGGTAGGAGCTTGTATGTGTTGAAATAAATGAGGCAATTGATGAAAAAAGATCAGCGGCTGCAGTGAGCATCGATCAGTGTGGCTTCTGAACCACTCGTCCTTCGGATAAATTGCAAATTATTTTCCGATTATTACCAGATGCTTGAAGCGCCTAATTATTTCATTTATTTCATTTATTACGACACGATAGCTTGTTTAGATCGCGCAAGTATAGTTTGTCGAGGAAGAAAATACCCGAGAACGAGGAGTTAGATTTTCCCTCTATCAGGTAGGGATTTTTCCGTTCTTTTGACTGTGAAATTTAAGTTCACACGCGTCGGAGCTCTTTCTCACGGCCCTAAGAAAATTCTGTCTGTTCGCATAGAGTGGCCTCTTTCCGCATTCCTACGGCACGTAGCATCGAAATTGAGACGTCCTTCCTGGGGAGTAACGTCTCCTCGGCGTTCTGCCCGACCGCATTACCATTTTTCGGCAATCGAACCGAATCGATAACTCGCTACTCTGGCGCCGTTGCTTCGCCGTCGAGGCGTCGTTAAATCGACCCCGATTCGACCCTATAAATCGCGTGTAAACTGACTTTCTTTCTATTTCACCGTTTCGTTCGAATGCTATCTTACCGGTCGTAATTTACATTTTGCGTCAAGGAGATGCTGATTTCAGATAGTCCAGTCTGAGACTTATTACGTTCTCCGGAGTGCTTTGGGATTTCAACGAATATCCGACCGGAATCTTGGCGTTGATCAGAAATAATGTCGCGATTAGCTCTCTCGATAGTGACTCGAACGTTTACGATTTATGTGTATCTTATCTGTATCGTCGAGAATATTGCTCGAGTTCTTTCAATATCTGAGGATTTCACTCTTTCAACGTGGATTAAAATCTCGGGGTGCTGCAATAAGTATATTTGAGAAGTAAAAAAGGAAGTCGATTCGTGTGGATTTTGCATATAATTATTTACCTATTGGTTAATACGTACTCTTCATGTGGTAGATATTAAAATAGGAAATACATAATGATTTATGTATCCTCGGTACAATTATCAATTTTAACAATTCATAAATTTGCCAATAGCTTCAGCGAAAGAGTTAAAGAACGTTGGACAATTTTCCTATTTACTTTTGAAATACTTGCATTCAGTTCTATACGCACGTACATATAGAACCTCGTGTTCTCTTCGTCTTTATCGATTCAATTGTATCTTTCTAACGTTAACGAATATTTCAAGCTCAAGGAAAATATGAAAAAACGGTTATTGGTATGCTGGACATTTCCTTCAAATATTTCAAACCTGTTTCGTTTGTTAAAATAGGAGGAAGATTGAATTCCAAAAGCTCGAGAATGGCAGTAGGGTTTGCGTGAAATACGGTGACCCAATAATAGACACGGACAGTCGATCGCTTTAGTATTCGGAAAATCGTTCGAAATAGGAAGGCACTGTCATATTTTCTACAACGAATGATTATCCGATAGTCAAATTGCTTTGTCGATGGGATGATTCTTTAAACGACGCGATGTCCTCTTAACCCGGTCACCGGGTAGCGTAATGGACGACCCACCCACTTTCTTGGCTGACCAAACACCGACCGATACTACTAATCCCTGCGCCGAAAAATCTAACCTGATCGACCGATAATCGAATATCGGATTGTACTGAATCATGTTCGGCGAAACGCTGAAATGTTGAAAATGTACGAAGGGAATAACGTAAAATAAATCAACGAACGTTCGAACAATGAAGTACGGGAAGCTCGTTAAGCGGAACAATTCGTTTCTATTCGAGGCATAAAAACGATTATAATAACGTAGCGAGGGTTGGAAAGGCGATATCGCATACAAAGATAAATTACAGGCCATTGGCTCGAATTATACTGTTTATCCACTCGCTAAAAGCGAACCCTCGAAACGGTTTGTTTCTGTTGAAAGAAGTACTAACCTCGTTACCATTAAGCAAATTTAGCAGTGATATTTTTTTCTAAGTGAGGGTGATTTAGAGGGTGTAGAGGGATGGAGACAGACCGGTGAATAAGAGAAAGTGGCGGTCTGAAGGACGAGTTGTCGAGTAAGGCTAAAGAGGGGGCGACAGTTCCCTCTTAACGAATTGGAAAGCGTACATACCTAATGCC